GGCCTGGAGTTGGACACTTCTGGGTTAAAGGGTTAAGAAACACCTTTCATTCAGGCTGTGACCCATTGAGCCCCGTTCTTAATTACAAAGAAGCTTTTTTCAGCTCCAGATTTTTGGTTTGTCAGCGTTTTTACATCTGATGTGATTAGTGTCACTACCTGGAATCAAACCGGTGACTTTAGCTTACCAGGTAAATGTGCTAACCACTACTAAGGGCAGTTAAATATACACCGTCAATATAAAACTGCAGGAGACGCAACGTTATGGTCAAGGTGCAGAGAAGGATGCATCATCGAGGAGCTGCGACTCGGTCACATGTGAACATTTATGGTCACAACACGCCAGGGCGGCTGATGATGGGGCGGGGTCTTCAACTGTGCCCCGCGACACCTTCAGGCACACCTGGGAAAACAGAGTCCTCGTCTTCACATCAGCAGCTGACAGCTGCCACACGTGTGTTCATACGTACGCGGAGATGCTTCTTCTTCCCCCGCCTGCCTCTCTCTCTATCCCAGCATCCTCCTGTGTCACACCAACCCTCACACGTCCTCAGAACAAACTCTGAACTCGCCTGCGACACATTTTGAAGGTTTCCTCGGTGAATACAGGAGAACACTAACAGATCGCTTTTTTGGTGCCAAAATGCAGCTGACCTTTAAAGAGCCTGTTTGCTCCATGGATGAACACACTACCCCTGCCATGTGGACTCCTGCACCCCCCCCCCCTTTACCATCGGGGGGCCCATCTTTGAACTGACAGTACACCAGATGGTTCCTCATCCTCAGTCCAGAGGACACAGCGTCCGTGATGGGAGGAGTTTCTACTTGGTCACAGTCCACCTTAAATGGACCTTGAGCCAAAATGCAGCTGACATTTAAAGAGCCGTTTGGGGAGCAGTTAGCATTGACTCTGAAGCAGACGTGTGCTGCGGCTGGATCAGCTAAACTTTCTGACCAGCTGATGGGAGATGCTTCAGAGGCTGCGGCTCTGGGCAGCTGTGAATTGCAGAGATAGACAGCAGCTAATTACAGCGGCGGTCGTTCTCAGCGAGGCTCAGAATGAGATTAAAACTCTGATGCTTGTAGATAATGTTTAAATCCCCTCACAGACAGATAAAAGCAGCTGAGTGTGGATTAAGACTTCTGTCATGGAGAGGGAAGTTCCTGGGGTTAAAGCTGTGTGCTTAAACATACAGCGCCCCCCCCACGCCCCCGCCTGCCGTGTTTCTGCTCCGCGTGAACATGTATATTCCACATCCCAGCGATACGTCTTCTCCGATCCGTCTCGGCGCCCACAGAGGCTCGCTGCGTGACTCTGAATATTTAGCACGCTGCTGCTGCCACACGCAGGAAGTCCGTGCTGCAAACCATGATTTCAAAATCTGTGGATGTCGTGCAGATGATGCTCCAGAAAACTGGATGAAGAAGAGATTCACTCATCCATCCTGAAGTATACTTAGTGCAGGCCCCCTCTCCCTCCACGGGGACATATTTTAGCAGCATTTCCTTTTAAGGAAGCCGTCGTGTTTAATGATGTTGATACAGTTGTGATGACGAATCCATCGCCTGCCCAATCAGAGGCCTGTCCTCAGGGACAGGTAGTTCCAGTCTCTGACCCACATACACACACAGAGAAACACACACACACACACAGACACACACAGATTATTTGCGTTGCTGCTCCCTGATGTCAGAGGAACCATAAGGACACATCAGGACATGCAGAGGAAATGAGTCGTGACGTGGTCGTGTCCTCGGTCCAGGTTTACGTCTCGTTCATGAAACATGATTGGAGGCTGTGGTTGCAGCCTGACCCCGTTCAGGTCGCGTCTGGGACCAGCCGAGCTTTTGAGTGCAGCGAGTCGACAGTCCGCTGCCACCGGAGGCCGTCGTAAGCGTTAAAAGCATCCCGAGCCGAGCACAGATGCTCGTGTGGACGGCTGCAGGCGCGCTCGCCTCTGTTCTCCTCTTTTTTAACATGCAAACACTTTTCACGCACTTTCAGCTGAAGCTTAAGAAGCAGGATGAACTCATTCTTTCTGTGCATGGCTGCAGGCTCGCACCAGCACGTACCAGCTGCTTGCTGCGCTCGCCGAAGAGCCCCGCAGCGCTGCGACCGCACGCGTTTGTACGCGGCTTCCGCTCTGCCTTCACCCGCACAGAAGAAGAGGCCACTGAAGCCGAATGTAAGACGCGTGTGTGAAAACAAGAATAATATCACGGCATCTGTTTGCATTAACGTCAAGCCTCCTGCATCATCTCTGGCCTGTCCTCGGGCGCGTTGCACTCTCTGATGTGTGTGGTGATATCTGTGCTGGTGGCGTGAGCTCTGTCTAAAAACATCCAGCGTCCTGCGTGCTGAGGACGGGACGCACCAATGAGATGCACAAGTCCTAAAACTGGGAAAACTAAAGAAGCTAAACAGAGAAATCAGCACCGACACAAGGACAGGCTGCAGTGATCTGCAAACGTCTGAGAGCAGCTGCTGGACTCTCACAGCTCAGCAGTCCTCGCTCTGCTTCCTCCTTTTTTGGTATCCAGATGTGCCAGCTGTGAGTCCCACAGCCACGCCCCGAAACATCAGAGCTGCAGGCGTTGACCTGAGCTCTGATAATGAGCTGGATGCTCTCCTCTCCATGTTTGGACGGGTCTGACCTCAGATCAGTTTTAAAGGAACTTTGGTCCAGAGGAGATGGCGCCGTCACGTCTGGCTTCTTCTCTGCTTTAACCTGCGCACAGAGATTCCTCCACGTGATGATGATGAGATGTTCACAGTGAGGAACTCTGAGAACTTCTGGCTCTCTGAGACGCTCTTTTTATAGCCGATCATGTGACTGACCTGCTGACAGCCTGATTAGCAGCTCGATGTTCCTCCAGCCTCCGACTTTTCCAGCTTCTTGTTGCAGCCCTGCAGATCTTTTAGAGACGTGTTGCTCATAGTTTTCTCACTTTAAACATTTGATGTGTTTTTTATGTTGGGTTGTGAAAAAATCTGAGATTTACGAATCATTGTGATCATGTAAATGATGTTGTACAGAGCGAGAACCAGGCCAGCTACCATGTGAGACACAGGTGAAAACACAGCAGACGGTCACAAAGGGGGAAAAATCAGAACAAGACACGAGAGAAAAGTACCCTTCAAAATAAAACAGGAAATGATGCTGAAACACGGAGAGCGAGGAGCACAGAGGGGAAACGATGCCGACACAGAGATGCACATTTAAAAACATTAAAAACATTAAAAACACTGAAGCTGCATAAATGGAGACGCTGGGTGTGTTCAGCATCCGTCGTAGTGCGGGCCCCACGAGGAAGGAAAACGTGTCCGCTGCCCTGAAACAGTCCGCAGACACAAGTCGACACAATCTGAACAAAAGTTGGTCAAACTCCTCACTGCACACAGACTTGTGCTCTGTGGCCTTTTTAAATCTATTGTCTGTCATAATTGTGTGTTTCAGTCGGGTACACCATGAACGACCTGATCTTTGAGTGGCAGGAGAACGGACCTGTTCAAGTGGCCGAGGGCCTCACGCTCCCACAGTTCATCCTCAAAGATGAATCAGA